AAGTTCATTCAGATATTAATTAGCGAAATATTGAAAAATGTATATATGATATATGTACATATTCGTGTTCGTGTTTATGTTCATGATCGATAGTTTTATTCTCCCGTCCCTACGCTATTCGCTATTCGAAATTATGGAGTTGTAAAAATTAAAAAAAAAAAATATATAGAATTTGGCAGAGATATTGCTTAATCAGTTCCAATTGATCATAAATACGTAGGTTAATTGAAAGGTTTTCGATCTGCAAATACGATCATGTTAGCGCCTATCCACAAAAATTATGGTGCACATATACATATTTTTTCTTGATTATACGATCAATCATTTAGGGGATGTCTCCTATTCGTCTAATATGGTGATGGTCGGGAAAAAGTGAGGAAAGAGAAGGAGAATTGGACGTGGCTGCAGTGTTTGTGGATATGTGCCCAGTCGAACAGTATTATTTATGCCTTTGCCGATTGAGCGCTCGTACTATAGTTACGACCAAAGTAAACTTTATCGCATTGAGATTTGAACCCGCGATCACAGACCTGGTAGTTGTGATTCTTACCTTCTCGGCTACTTAGCCGAATGGGCATTGAAATTTCAGCTATCTTCGACGTTTGAGTGCGTCGTTGTGGGAGTTTCCGCGAAAATGAAAAAACGGAAAATTGAATATCGGGTGTTTTTGAAAGTCAATAGGCTTACATAAATTAAAAACGTGTTGGACGCCGTGCATCAAATTTCTGAATCATCATTAGTTGTCGCGAAATTGTTGGCATTTGAATTGAATTATAGTCATACCAGCTTGGGTGACGGTAAACATTCGAAACGCTCAAAAAGTGCAGATACTGAATATAATATAGTTCAAGTTCCCTAGATAATGTTGGACGGTACACTATATTCTTCGGATCACCGTAAAAACCGAAACCTATATTGAGCTACTTAACGCATAGATTTGCAAAAAATATATCGATATGATTGTACTATTCTTAAAGAAGATTATATTTGTGAGTAACCTTCAATTCTATAGAAAAGGAATTTTTTTTCCCAGTCGGATTGGAAACTTCGCAGTCAACCCTGCTGCGGTCGGAATGCTTGAAGACTTGAAAAAGCCTGAAATATAGAAATTAGATATTTCAATACGTTTGCATTAATACTCAAACTTACAGCGGTTATCGATAAGCCTGTGGAACATTTAATAATGCTTTCAATTCGTTTAGGGGAATTTAACATGAAAGTATATAAAGTGGTTCTTATGCAAGTTTCTTTCCCGTTTTTTTTTTTTTCAACTTTCGCTTTCGAATATTTTCTTTAGACAAAGTAATGGAAAAGAGTTTCGACATTAACAAGTAAAAATGCTATAGTTTGGCAAGGTCGACTATTAGATACACTACGTAAATTTAATAATAAACCAAAAATTAGACCGTATTTTCATGTAAACGCATGACTCTCTTATTGAAGGATACTGGAACCTCGGCACGGTCCATATTTAGCAAACTTAATTTTCTTGTTAAAGATTTTATTATATCCGAGCACAAGTTAAGCTTTGTCGCCATAGAAGGATTTGTTTTCAGTAGAGCCCCTTACATGGAGTGATTTAAATAATAGATCTATGCGATCCAAATTTTGCATCCATAAGGACAAATTTTTCATTATGAAATATTAAAAATTACATCGTTTTGTCATATGCAGGATTTTTTCCATTAGAATCCCTATTAGAGGTCCTAGATCTACGTGGTCCAAATTTGCTATGATTAGTTTTTATGTCAAGTTATTATTATGAACAAATTTTGCATCGAGAAGAATTGAAAATTACGCGTTTTTACCATATAAAGATTCAGTTTTCGTAGGAATGAGTTGGTGGCAAGCGGGTCAAAAATTTACCCACATGCAATTCATGCAGGGAAGCGGTCGAAAATTGTGTTCATAGTTAAGCGAAAAGTCAGTGAAGCGTCAGTGTACCGTATTTCATTCAAATATCGCCTCTTTGTGGGTATAACAACCGTCCGCACAAACATAATATACTTTGTACCACAAGTGGTGTAGCGTATGCTTTTTCAAAATTGTTCACATACACACACACATACCCACGGTTACGAAAATATGTCATATTTTTTGATTTTCCGTTCTCCGTAGACATATTGCATTTGCATATTTGCATATTTGAATAAATAGACGAAATTCATATGAAAGAGGTTCTGTCCTATGTTAATTCCCCATATCAGATGAGTGAAGGATCGTAGGGAGGAAGAAGCATTAGATAATTCAGAATTTTTCTCTACTTAGTGGCAGTTTTCAATTTTTCCTTTTTTTTCTTGCATATGAACTAAAGTTTCGAAATTTTGCATCTGTTTTAAGCATCACAGTAATATATGGCTCAGAAGAATATAAGAGCCTTGAAATTGCGAATTGAATTTTTTTTAATTATCGTCTTAATAACTGCAGGGTTGCATTAATAATGAACGAGATCATTTAGGGCGCTTGACCTTTGCAAGACATGCGGCCTTTAGAGTTCCACAACCAAGAAGAGATGGACGAATTAGCAAAGTTTTCGAAATCAACTCGAAATTTCATGTACACGTATATTTGGATGTTACGAACGATGCGGCAGGCGTGACAAACTCTCAGGCTGTGATTCTATTAGTAACAAAGTAATCAATAATATCATTTTGATCAAAATTATCATCGATTATAGAAGTTCTATTATAGTATTTCTGTATTTCTGGCTTTGAAAAACTTCGTCATGTAAAAATATACAAATATTTAAGATCTTAGATACATATGTATCTAGTCTATAGCTATGCTATAGCTATAGCTATATGTATACGTATGTATGTATATGAGCTTGTGAAGTTGTCTCATATTGTCTTAACTCATACCTTCTAACGAATAAGCAGAAGCTTGCCTCAGGTGTATTTTTCCTTTTATGAGACTTAGACGGAGACGTTACAGGGTAAGATTCTGAATCTAGTTCGCCATGCTTGCCTACCTATAAGTCCGTCCATACGTCCATCCGTCCATCCGTCCATCCGTCCATCCGTCCATCCGTCTATCCATCCATACGTCCGGCCGGTTAGGTATGTTATTTATCGTTGGAATGCTCACCATCGTATGGTATCGTAGATATATATCGTATATCGTAGAAATCTGAAATTTCGCATGTATATACGCATGCATGTCAAGCAAAAAACAAGTTTCAAGAATTGACGCAATTTGACCACAACCAGTCAAAAATATAACGTAAGAGCCCACTTTAAAACTTTGCGTATATGTTACTCATTGAAATGCTCATATACGGCATTTCACATCTAAGGATCTAAAGCAGTGGATATCAAAGATTCGCCGTAACACGGCCGCATAACTTTCTTATTTTTGTTAGTAAATAACAAGTAAAAGAGAAATGTGATCTAAATGCATTTATATATAAGTAAATAGTAAAATAATGAAATAAATGGTTTTATTTCAAATGATAAGGGATTCCAATGAAGTTTTTACGATCCAATTGATCTATACAACATTTCACGTGTCAATTTGCAATGTAGTTATTGTTCGATCTCTGGCTAACGGATAGATAAGCAAACGTAGACATATTGTTGCCTGTCATGTTTAGTTATTAGCCTTTTCTTTTTTTTTTTTGTTATATTATTTCAATGGTATTATTTTCATAAGTCAAAGTACATATCACGTTTAGATTAAATGCGTATTCTTCGCATATATGTCTTCTATTTCACATATGTGAAATTCATATTTTTAAAAAGCAATTAATCCGCCTGAGTGGCCAAAGGCGAAGAATCTCGACTAACAAATGAATGGTCGTGAGTTCGAATCTCAAGTGCGGTAGAGTTTTTCATAAAAGTCTGATAGCCTTCTAGATGCTACTGCTTTTAAGAGTGCTTTAAGTCTTAGAATTTATTTCTCTGACGTAATTAATAGCAATAATAATAATAATAATAATAATAATAATAAAAGGCATTTGTATAGATAGATATAGTCTGTGGTATCCAAGTTGATGTATGACATTAGAAGTTCGACTTAAACTTTGTATAACTGTTTTTGTTTTTGTTCTACCAATGACACGTACTTTACACAACGAAATGAGAATAAAAAGTGATTTTTCCTAAGTTAATAGCTTCAAAGTTAAAAAAAGGTCGTACGCATCTATATGTGTACATACATACATATGTAGGACACGGTACAAATTTGTCAATTTTCATTTTTATCCAAACACAAAAAAAACAAAAAAAAAAAAAAACGTTTAGTTGTCAAATGTGTTTGAGATGTGTTTTCTTATTTTTTTATTTATTTATTTTTTTTTGTTGTTCATATCTAAACTGAGGAGAAACAAGTTACCGTGTATGTATTGTTTTTCCAATACAACACCTTGCAATTAGAATCATTTATAGACAAATATATGCACATCTATACATGTGCATACACGTATGTATATATGGTTTATAGCTTGTGGGCTAAATAAAATATAATAATAATAATGATAGTAATAAAATGAAAAAACAAAACAAAGCAAAAACAAAAAAAAAAAAAAAAAGTTCGAAACTAGCTTTTACCGAAACGTGTTCTCATCATACGTGTGTATCGCGTTCGTATTCGTATTCAGTCGCGTCGATAACCGATCTATAACACACCAACCAATTAGTTATTTTCTCCATAAATGAAATGTTCTGACTTCAGTTTAGTTTGAAATTTGAGTTCATTTGAAGTGTACGTGCAACGATCCATGACAAACGAAAAGCATACAATTTTATGTATATCATAAGCTCCACTACGAAATCCTCCGTATTTATACAACGAATTTAGCAAACAAAAAAAAAAAAATAAATAAATAAAAAATATTAAAAAAAAAAAATAAATAAATAAAAAAAAAAAAAGATATAAAAAAAGAAGTAAACAGAGATATAAACTACTACTTACTAAAAACCATTGAAGAATATTTTTAAATAAAACCAAAAAAAAAAAAAAAAGAAAAATTTTTAAGAGTTAGGAGTTTAGTATTTTTTTATTATTTATTTATTTTTTTTTCTTTAGCATCATATAAATTTGAAAACAATTTATTATAATTAATTAATAATAAAGCAACTTAACCACTCGATTGGTGGAAAAACAGATAATATTGCGTTTGTGTCTGTGTGTGTGCATGCGTGCGTGCCTATGTGTATATAAATATATTTAATAATTGTGTGATCGTTAAAGGTTAGTAAAATAATCGTAACGCAGCAAAGTGAAGAAAACGCTTTAGCTTAAGCTGATTCACATTAATGCTCCCACTATTTTTTAATCTTAATACATTATGAATATTTGTTTTTGTTTTTTTGTTTTTTTGTTTTTTTGCTTTATTCGTGTGTAGGATTCGCAACGGACGTGCCGTGACACAATAGGCGTTTTAAATGGTGATTCAGTTAACGCCGTTTTAACATTTTCAGAAGAAAACATGAGATAACTTTTTTTTTTTTTTTTCTTTTTCTTTTTCTTACACCCACCCACCTTGCATTAGAGTGCATTAACTTTGTCATTACGTGCATATTTCTTTCCTAATTATGTACCGAAAATGATGTGGATTTCGTGGATTTCCTATCGAATTAGCAATATCCTAATAAGCGTTATAAGTAGTTATGAAATCAATTTTGATCGAGAATCAAAAAGAGAGAAAACAAAAACAAAAACAATAGGAGATGACTTTAAAAAATAAAAGATGCAGTCAGTTTTTGTTCAATAACGTTCAATTTAGATATTTATAGTGACTTTTTTTCTCCCCCTTTTTTCTTGTATGCATAGAATTGCAGTATGGATAGCTTTCTTTTTCGAAAGTGGAACGCTATTGTTTTTTTCGTAGCATATTCAGAGTTACATAAAAGAGAATTTTTTATTCTTGCTTATTTTTATGTAAACAATGATTTATTCTTGTTCTTTTATACACATCACCGAAATATGAGCGGTATATTAATTGCGTCGAAACGTTTGTGACATCTAGAAGGCACACACACACCACATCACATCTTAAAGCATATATGTATATATTTTTGATCGACTCGAAATCGATTCTAAATCGATTTAAGTATGTCTGTCCATCTGTGTATTATCTGCGATAGACTAGCTCTTGTTTGCAAAAATGAACATATCGCTCATAAATTTGTTAAAGGATTTGACACGCCTACAATGCCCACACACGCCTATGCAACAAAAACTGAAAACGCCTTTGTTTTCGTCGTTTCTTGCTCGCTGCTCATAAACTACAACAACAGATACACGACATAACTTTAAATTTTTATTGTAAAAAATTGAAAAAAATCAGCCATGCCCCCTCAATATTATATAGCATAAAAATTCAATTTTTTTTTGCTTTTTTCTTTAGTTTTTAGTGTTAATGATGGAGTATAAAGGAGTCGATCACAGTCGACTATAGGCTTTTGTTAATTGTTAATTTATGAAAAGAATTTAAAAGCAATAAATGTCGTCTTGGTTTTAACAACAATAATAATGTTTTCATTAATTGATGTTTAATCTCGTCGTTGTTGTATTGAGGCGACATTCCTTTTTTTTTTTTCTCTTACAATAAAGTTATGAATCTGATTGCGGATAACATATTCGTTCAAGATGTATTATGCCTTTCCTGAACTCGACCTTTGTCGACAATTCAAACCTAAGCATTAGGTTTAGAAGAATTCCTAAAAACAACCTGTTATTTATAATTTAAATGGTATACTAATCGATTTAATTTAAAAGAGACGAAAATATATTATAGTGGACTACAGCTCATCATTAAATACTTTATAACAATTTGCTTCGCATTCGTATAAAGATTTTGCAAAATAAGGCGCTTAAAGGGAAAATGATTGAAAGGGTTATACGATCCGAACTATTTGCAATAGCGACGTTCGTCTTTGGACTAAAACATATTTCATCAAAATATCTCCAAAGATTTGCGACCTGTAGTGTTGAATACAAGAATTAAAGACGGACAGAATGTATAGATAGACAGTCGAAATTAGATTGATCCAGAAACTGATTTTAAATAATAAAATATGGGTTTATTTCGAGGTCTTCTAAATGTCTTGTGTATACGTCTGCAAGAACTTAATATACTCTTGACTCACAAGTGTTGTACGGTATAAAAATATTAAGCCTATCAATTGAATGAACACTAATTATATCGTAACTCCAATTTACATTTATGTGTGTGTATATAAATTGAATAAATTACGCCAGCATATTGCGATTTTGATTTACTTCCGAATTTGCGTTTACTAGATATATGTAATGTTGGTAGAGTTTTCGATATGTACTTTATTTGCTAGCGTAGTACAAGCAAATGCATAAAATATCGTGTAAATTAGATATGAGTATTATTTCTACATCTTTCCTTCTTCTTGTCCCTGTCGACATGACTCAGTTTTTACACGATTTTTTTAAGATTACTTTTCGCGAGAATCTTCTCTAACCAGCGTTTGCAACATCGGGCAGAGACTTTATAATATATGTATAATCTCCTAATCGATATCCAATTCTGAATCGATTTAATCGCGTCCGTATGTCCATTTGTATAATGCCTGAGGCATATATATTTTCTGCAAAAAATAAAGCTATCGACTTGAAATTTGATACAAGCACTGAAAGCTCTTCTACGCATATTGGTATTGAAAACGAGCCAAACCAGTCATAGGGCGCCCCCATGATAAAGCGTAAAGTGAGAACGCATCTGTTTTGAAAAGCAAAAAAAAAAAAAAAAACAGAGAACATTTGCATTTTTTTTTCATTACTCATATTCTACAATGTATTACAAATAGTGATAAAAATTTTCATTTGTACGCTCGAGTATATGTGCAAGAATGAATAAAGTCCAGGCCAAAGCTTGGCTGATCAAGCATTAAAGAGTTTCGAAATGTGATTTTTTTTTTGTGTTTCTTTCAAGAGAAAAGGTGGTGAGTATAAAAGATTCGGCCGTAGCCGAATATAAATGTCCTTCTTTTTATGGCAAGGTCCATCCCTATATTAATACTATAACCTATTTTTTGCATCGCATGTAAGTTGTACTTATTAAACTCTCGCAATTTCAAAACTAGTGAGAAACGAGTAAGAAAATTACATTCGGTTGGGATCGGATCTCTTATACCCATCATCGTTTGCTTAAGAAAGATTAAAAAAAAGGAGAACCAAATTTTTATATTCTATAATTTGGGGTGGGCGCGGCTTGCAGGCGATATTTTCATTTTTGCAAGGCAGACAAACAGACAGACATGCTGAGGTGCTTGAACGAACTTGAAACCGATCAAGAACTTATATACTTTGGGGGATTTTTGAAGCTGGCTTCTTGCTTGAACGAAATAATTAAATTTTGAAACACTACAACATTGGGTAGGCGCTGTTCAACTTTTCCTATTTTTTTTTACAAGATTTACAGCATCGCCTGTAGAATGCACTTGCAATCTCTTCTATGCTTATCTGCTGTAGTTTATGAGTAATGACCAAAAATCTGTTTCCTCATTCCTCTTGAAGAACATAGGCATTTTCAGTTCACGTGATAGTGTCCTTCGAGCGACTTGACCCATTTTCAATACTAACCTGCATGTTGAGTCATCAAATGTTTCTGACGATTTTGAAGTCGATAGCTACACTTTTGTGGCCAGTAGAGTGTTTACAATAGACATTAAACAGAGGGACAGACGGACATGTTTAAATCGATGCCGCATTTTATAGAATATGATTGTATCCCCTTTAATTCGCCCAATATCTACACTTTCATATATTAAAACATTTCCAAAAAGTTAACGCATACCAATGCAATCATATATTTTATATTTATTAGTATGTCTGAAATGTTATTCATTCATAAAAATTTTCAAATTCAAATCATTTTGATAGTTATAATAGGATTATTTCTTGTTCTAACCGCACGAAAGAGTAAAATGCAAGTTTTTCGGTCCACAACAACACTTTGAACTAAGAAGTGTGATGAAAAGTAGCTGACTTAATTTTTAAATTATGAACAGGTAGTTTACTTAAAGGCATGATGCTTTACCACCTACATATTTTTCCAATGTTTCGGGCAACGTATGCGAACCATTCATGTAGTCATTTTTCTCACATATTCCGAGCCAACCATAATATTGCCATTTGTGGGCACATCACTCTAGATGTAAAGAACCGGTAATCGTAAGGTGCCAAGTCTAGTGAGCAAATCGTACGGAGCTAAAATATTTCATTTGAGCGTTTCCATCGCGGCACGAAGCGTGCATATATCCTATAAAAAAAAGCATTGTTTTGCCTTGTGTTGTGTCATCCTTAGGAACCTAACTAATGCGATGCAAAAACGATTTATTTTTCTATCGTTCAAATAAAAAAAAAAAAAAAAGAAGAAAGTATTTTAATATAATATATATGTGATATATACATATATGCATATGTGTATAAATGTGTGATAATTTAGTACATTAAACGACTAATAGAATACGATTACAAGCCTCTTGCAGTTCAGTCAGTTAACATAATTGTACGATCCATTAGAAAGGTATCCTAACAATGTCACTGATTACAAATACTCATACAGCTTGAAACTTATTATTATTAAATATATGCATATATACAATAGGAATTATAAGTAATAGGGGAAAACCAGACAAGACGAACCAGACATTCAATCATGTTTAGAATCAAAAGGCACAGTTATCTTCCGCTGGAAAGAGGAAGCATTTTACATTACTAGTTAGTAAGTTTCATAGCTTTATAGCTTTACTAAAGCAAAATGCTTGATGGTGTGAAATAAATCCAGTGAAACTCCTCTGAATGACAGTGAGACATAATTCAACTTGTTATACGCGAATCTAGCACACGTAGCGATAGTAAGCCTAAATTTGTTTTCTGAAGTGTAATCAAGATTGCCGTACACGCGCCGTTCGCGCTGAAAGCTATGAAAGGGACTATAAGGCTTCAACTTAGTTCCATAGCAAAGTGTTACGAATCCTCACAAGTTGGAAATCAAAATTAAAAACGACATTAATAAATTCAAGAACAGCATTCGTCATTACTACGCTAGGTAGAGAAGTAACGTTCCGTGCACTATAAGATATAGCAATAGCTTTGCTTATAGTTGAATTTACCCCATAACTGGTTCTCATTCGATCAATGCATAAAATTGCATAAAAAGGTGTTCATCAAATCAAAAGAAATTATTTTTTGCAAGCGCTTTTTATATCTTAAACAAATTTCGACATATTGAACCTGAATTATACTATGCAAGCACTTTTACCATTTATTTGCATATGGCTTATGGAGTATTCGGCACTTCTTGTTGACGGTCCAACAAAACGCCCATATATGTAAAATCTACGCCATTGGTATATCAAATCCTCACTTAAAATTTGTACGCTAGTGTCTGTGTGTGTGTGTGTGTGTGTGTGTGTGTATATATATATATGCATGTATGTATGTGACCTTCAGGCGCGGTTTGAACTTGTGCAGTTAACTGTAAAAATACCTTGCTGAATGAAACGCGGTTAACGCATAAAAAATACAATTGATATCGGTTATGATAATGACGTGCAGTAAAAACATTAAATCTGATTTTTTTCAATTTTCTCAATTAATTTCTATTAAGCTAGATCAAATAAATACATGTCACATATATGCACTTAAAATTCATATAAAATGTTTTTAGAAAAGCATAGAATGCCGTATGAAAATGTATACGAAAATCAGGCTTCTTTCCATAAATTGTTCATATAATGATCAGCTGCTACAGCTGCTGTTTTTATATGCATTGAATAAGCGATCATGACAATTTCTCTTTCAAATTCCGATGACATTACTTTAATAATGCTAGGTGATGACGTTTACATTCTGTAAAAGGGTTATTTTAAATGGTAAGGCACCAGACCTATATGAGAGAGAAAGAGAAAGAGAAAGAGAAAGAGAGAGAGAGAGAGAGAGAGAGAGAGAGAGAGAGAGAGAGAGAGA